CGCGTATCATGGCTCCCCTCTTTAAGAACTTGAAGTCCCTTCCAAGTTTAGAACTTCTGCTGAGGGAACTCTCGGGCCCCTCCATCTTTGTGGCCTTCAATCATCTTCTTCTTCCTTAATCTCTGAACTCATTCCAAAAAAAAGGATCTCGCTAAGCTTCTTGTATTGCGATCGAGTCAGGACCATACACAGGATGCCCCTTCATCAGATCTGATTGCTCTGATACCAACTTAATACGAGTCACCGTGCGAGCACCCTTTGGTCGCGGAATTACAAAAATATGGATTGAGAAGAAGATAACTAAAACACAAGAACAATTCAGTATGGCGAAGGAAAATACATTCTCTAGATTATGAAGAATCAATTATTACAAATCTCACCCTCACAATCTCACTAGAATCGAGAACAACCTCTCAATCCTCTCTAAACCCTAATACAATGATTAGAATCTCTCTTTGATCTAAGAACTCATAGATCTTCACAATCTAAACCCTAATCCTTTTGATTAGGATCTCACTTAGACCTAAAACCCTTTAGATCTACATCTTGGCCTCTCACCTTCTTTCTCTCTGATTTAAGAAGATAAAACTAATCTAATCTGATGTTTAGAAACCCTAAACAACTCTTTATATAGGTGTACAAACGTGGATGGTAATCTTGTAAATAACCAAGCCCAAAACTAACAGGAATTCGTGTGAACAGAAACCCAACCAAATTAGGAATCTGTCGATGAGTCGACTCATGACCTCATATGAGTCGACTCATAACTGATGAGTCGAATGGTCAGAGACTTTTGGTAACAGGGTTTGATTTCGTGAGTCGACTCATGACAGTCATGAGTCGACTCATGTACATGTATGAGTCGAATCACGAGCTGAAAACTGGATTCTTTGAATCTGCTGCTCGTCGTCTCGTTCCACGCTTCCACCTACGTTCCACTATACTGATTGACACCTCTATTCTCATGCTATCATTAGAATCATCTATCCTCATGCTCCCATGAGGATCGCTAAGTTCCGAAGAGAAGATATACCCGTATCATGCTTTGATTCTTCATTCTTCCGACTCACTTCACGCTCCATCCAGTGCTCTGCCGTATCGCTTCACACCACTATTCTCAAGATATCATGAGAATCACCTATTCTCAAGCTCCCATGAGGATCACTAAGCTCCCGAAGCAGAGAAGAAGATACACATGTATCATGGATCCCCTCTTTAAGAACTTGAAGTCCCTTTCAAGTTTAGAACTTCTGCTGAGGGAACACTTGGGCCCCTCCATCTTTGTGGCCTTCAATCATCTTCTTCTTCCTTAATCTCTGAACTCCTTCCAAAGAAAAGGATCTCGCTAAGATTCTTGTATTGCGATCGAGTCAGGACCATACACAGGATGCCCCTTCATCAGATCTGATTGCTCTGATACCAACTTAATACGAGTCGCCGTGCGAGCATCCTTTGGTCACGGAATTACCAAAAGATGGGTTGAGAAGAAGACAACTAAAACACAAGAACAATTTAGTATGGCGAAGGAAAATACCTTATCTAGATTATGAAGAATCAATTATTATAAATCTCTCCCTCACAATCTCATTAGAATCGAAAACAACCTCTCAATCCTCTCTAAACCCTAATACAATGGTTAGAATCTCTCTCTGATCTAAGATCTCATAGATCTTCATAATCTAAACCCTAATCCTTTTGATCAGGATCTCACTTAGACCTAAAACCCTTTAGATCTACATCTTGGCCTCTCACCTTCTTTCTCTCTGATTTAAGAAGATAAAACTAATCTAAGCTGATGTTTAGAAACCCTAAACAACCCTTTATATAGGTGTATAAACGTGGATGGTAATCTAGTAAATAACCAAGCCCAAAACTAAGAGGAATTCGTGTGAACAGAAACCCAACCAAACCAGGAAACCGTCGATGAGTCAACTCATGACTGAGATGAGTCAACTCATGACCTCATATGAGTCGACTCATAACTGATGAGTCGACTGGTCAAGGACTTTTGCTAACAGGGCTTGATTTCGTGAGTTGACTCATGACAGTCATGAGTCGACTCAACCTGATGAGTCGACTCATGTACATGTATGAGTCGACTCACGAGCTAAAAACTAGATTCTTTGAATCTACTGCTCATCGTCTCGTTCCACGCTTCCACCTGCGTTCCACTATACTGATTGACATCTCTATTCTCATGCTATCATGAGAATCATCTATCCTCAAGCTCCTATGAAGATTGCTAAGTTTCAAAGAGAAGATACACCCGTATCATGCTTTGATTCTTCGTTCTTCCGACTCGCTTCACGCTCCATCCTGTGCTCCGTCGTATTGCTTCACACCACTATTCTCAAGATATCATGAGAATCACCTATCCTCAAGCTCCCATGAGGATCACTAAGCTCCCGAAGTAGAGAAGAAGATACACACGTATCATAGGCTTATAGTAACTACATATTGCTTTATCTTTTTATTTATTAATAATTAGTAATTAGTATTAAATTATCTGAACTAAATGTGTATGTAAATCTATATGAATATTTCTACCTTGAGGACTTTGAGGGGGTTTGGAATTATGTGTTTAATGTCAAGGTTAAAGCAGTCCTCAAACAATGGAGGCATGAGATCAAACACTTTACCTATGATAGGTATGAGGAGGACTCGCAGAGGTTTTTAAACCTCGATGACCGAGTTGACGAGCTTCATTTCACGGCTCTCTTCATGTATTGGGACAGCGATGCCGTCAAGGTTAGTTTTATGAAAACTACTTTATAAATAAAAGATATTATTTCATTGCATATTTACTAAAATATATTTTTTTAAAGAATAAATCCACGAAGGGGTCAGAGAATAGAAGGAAGAAGCTACATGACTATCACTTGGGCGCACACTCCTATGCTAATCTAGAGGATGTTTATTGCCATGATATTGTATATGTCATTTAAAGATTAAAATGATCTTAATGCTTAATATGATTATGAAATCTCATAAATGTATAATATGATAGGGAAAATAAAAAATGTCGATACATTTGAAGGCAAAAGCGGCGTATGGTACTTTTCGTGATAGGTATAGGGGTGTGGAGAAGAATCGGGAAAAGATCAAGGCAAATCTCAAGTTGGTGGTGTGACCTATATATATCTTAAGTAGTATTATTAACTCTATTTCGTTGTTAATATTATGAGAAAACTAGAACACAAATAATATGGTCTTTACCTTAAATTAACTATATATTTGTGCTTTAGGCGGGATTTGAGACTGCATCCAAGGAGGCTGCATCAATGAGGTTGTCGTAGACTCGTAGGAGGGGGGAAAAGGCGAGTTGGACCCTCATATGCTTTCTACAGAGGAGAACATCACTCTCACGCAGAACGTAATGGGACATAATTGGTATGGATGGTAAAAAATTGATTCAATTTGAATGCCATGTTCCTATTTATATTTGTTTACATTATTGAATTCGAAAGCAAAATCTAAATTTATTTCTTCCTAATAATAGGAGAAGAAGGTATCCTCTGCATGGTGTTGGATCTTCACCCGACATAAGCATAAGATCATCCACAGTATCCTCCACGCCATCTATAATAATGAGAGCAACCCCAAGCAGTTTTTAGGCTATGCCATTTATCGCACGCATCTCCGCGTATTTGTTTGACAATATTAACTCGGAGCTGCATATTCAGGTGACTACTGAGATGACTAGAGTTGCGAGGATGACCAACTCAATGGACGATCTTATAGGGTACGTTATGGAATATTTAGGCAGTGACTCCCCATAGCGCGTACGGTGGAATCATGCGGATCATAAGCTCGATTGGCGATAATTTCGGTGCTAGGCAGAGTAGCGTTCAGGTACCTTATTTTTCCTTATATGTATAAATTCATTTTTGTTTACTATGTTATCAAACACCACATAATTATTTTTTAATTTGACCTTTAGAGTGGAGATATTAAAGAGAGCAGCACCCGTTCTCGTAACCGGGATAGAGATGCTACTGAAGACCATGAGAGTTGAGGTTTTCTATTTTTTAATGAAATAAACAATTTTATTTGTTATAACACTCTACTTTTATTCATGTCGTGTACCCTATCTTATTCTTGTGTATTGCTAGTGAACATGTGGTTGGATGTATATATTGGATGGAATTGATTGATGTATATTTTTGATTGGATAGTTGGATATGTGTATTGTGTATAATAGAATTGTTGGATATGTGCACTGGATGGTTTGATTATATTTGGTTATTAATGTAATTGTTATGAATTTTTGTATGGTTGGATGTATTCATGTGTATAATGTAATTGTACAGGAAATCAAAAATTGTAAATAATTTTTTTTTTGCTATAAAAATATCAACCTAGACAGAATTTCTGTCTAGGATGTCCTAATCTAGACGGAATTCTGTCTAGGTTAATTTTACTACAACCTAGACGAAAATCCGTCTAGGTTGGCAACCTAGACAGATTTCCGTCTAGGTTGCTATAACCTAGACGGATTTTTGTCTAGGTTGATAACCTAGACAGAAATATAATATCCGTCTAGGTTGCTTTCCGTCTAGGTTATCAACATAGATGGATTTCCGTATAATTTGTCGCAGCCTAGACAGAAACAGACTAGACGGAGCAAACTAGACAGATTTTCGTCTAGGTGAATCAACCTAGACAAAAACTCGAGCAACCTAGATGGAAATTTCCGTCTAGGTTGCTCTTTTTTCTACTAGTATTTGTCGGTGAATAATGTACATTTTGATTATTTTTCATTAAATAATACTCTTCTTCTTTCTTATTTTTTGTATCATGGAGTTAGTAGGATGACAATAGCTTAGTTTGATCTAAGATAGAAAGTTAGAAATTTTATCCATCTCTCTATTCTACTCCCTATTTGTCCTTGGTCTTCTCCTTCTCCTTGTTTCATAATTCCACTACCAAATTCATTAACAAGAACACTTCCATCTTTAAAAATTTTGTTAGATCAGATTATTTTCAGAACTTGTGCAACAATCAAGCTTTCCACATTTTACTTCAATTGCAAATGTTAAACTTCTACAATTTAAATCAAAACTGATGATGAATCATCTGCGAGTGTCTCAAATTCCTTTCCCTCACAAATTGTGCAAAGAGAACATCACATCTACACAATATTTTATATCATACAAATAGCAGGGGCTTCTTCTTTTACTCCCTACTCCCTGAACCTTGCAATACAATTCTCAAATGTTCATCTTAAACCAACCAACATTCTTTCCTCTAGCCTCCTCTGCATATTTACTCTTGCAATGAAATCCTCCACTCTCTTGTTAAGCTCTTCAGCAGGCATTAACCCTCTCTCTTCCTCCTCTTCAATCAGTACCTTACTCTCACCCTTGATCACTTCTTCCTCTTCCTTTTTCTCTTCTTCCTCCTCTTCAATCACCTCTCTCTCCCCCTTGATAACTTCTTCCTCTTCCTTTTTCTCTTCTTCCTCCTCTTCAAGCACCTCACTCACTCCGTTGATCACTTCCTCTTCTCCCTTTGTCTCCTCTTTCTCCTCTTCATTCTCAATCTCTTTCTTCTCTTCAACCAAAGGATTATCCTTAGACACCTCTTTATATCTTTGTGAATAAATCACATACTCTTCATAGATGTTCGGCTTCGAGGAAGAGCTCGACAGCCTTGACTCGCCTATGAGGATGATGATGATGAGGTTGAAGACGAGGAACAAAGACTTGGGCCCGATAACGATGTTGATGATTTTAGGGAGTGACTCCATGAAGAAGAGTTTAATACAAGAGCAAAGTATGGGGAGCCAAAGAGGGCTTGAGAGGAATAAGCAAAGAAGTACAAATAGTAGAGAGTGTTGGATGAGACTTGATAAGTTACACTTGTTGTATCTCTTCATTCCTTGGTATTTCTCTTGTTTGATGATGTCCGTGAGAAATTGTAGGGGTTATTCTAAGTGCTGAGAAGTTTGAGTTGAATGAACATAGAGCAATTGAGGAGAAGAAATATATATAGAGAGAGAAGAGAAAAGAGAGACTTTGTTGGTGGGATGCATCACACTGTGCCTTTGCACTTATATAATGTGGCTCTCTTTTGATATGTGGGGGGTTCTCTTTTGGAAAAAAAAGGCACGTAATCCTCTTATCTTTCCTAACCCTCCAAAGGTCTGATGGCTTTGATTAGAGGTCAGTTTGCTGAAATATTCACCATGTAGGAGAGGGAATATAACCAAGAGCATTGCCAAAGCTATTAGGATAAGACTAAACTATGTATTTCACTCATGCATATAAGACTTAAAGGGGTTGCAATGCCCATAAGATGGATAAGTCTCAATTATATATGAGTAAGAATCTTTGCATGTTCTGCATATTACCAAGGCTCATGGGAACCAGTAAAAATAGGAACATAGCCAATTCTTTCAACGTGACATGCAACCCATATTTGGGGCTAGAAGTAGCCTAATGAAGGGTAATGGCTGTTTGGTATCTTCTCCTAAAGTTAGAGAAGTGATCTATGACATCATTGGATCACAAGTGCAATGAAAAGTTGTAATTCATCAAAAGTTATCACCAATGCAAGTTAAACTTTTTTAATGGAATAGTGGCATTACCCCCTCTTGTTAGCTTCCAATTTTTGGTTCATTTTACTAGCCACCTCTTCAAAAGTAAAATTCTTACCTTGGAGGAAAGCGCTAGCAACCTTCTTTAAGGGGTGCAATAGCGTTGTGGTGGATATTGCTACTCCATGCTTTTAATGTGAATTGTTTAGCTTTTAGATTAAGGAAGCAATAAGTGACACATGCATATGAGAAGAAAAAAATAATACCAGCACTTATAAAAAAAAGTGAAAAATATTTTTGTATGGGTTCTAGGAACTTTATCGATCCTCTTTATTTGACTATAGGTACTACATTATGATGTTTTTTTGCTCTCACATATATCTTTATTCTGGCTTTTATACATTTTGTTCACATGATATGATCCTTACGAATGTTCCCACATTCACATGCATGATACAAATTGCAAACCGAATCATTTACTTGTTGAAGTAAAGGTTGCAATTTTCTTTCCACGGCTAAATTTTGCACTAAACTTTAGGTTGCTTTGCGCAAATCTATCAGAAACCTTTTAGTGGAGAAAACAATAATGAACTTTTTTCGCCAAACTACTATGTATATCTAATTACAGTTAGGATAAATTGTCACGTGTCATGCGCATTTCTTTTGGACAAGTTTACCCTTATATATACTTTATATTACCTTTATAAATTTTATGTATTGATAAATATAAAGAAAGGTAGTTTAAATGTTTTATCCAAGAGCAATAACATTGCTGGCAACAATTTCAAATAGTTCATGTATTTTTTTGTGCTTTAATTAAGCCCTAAAGTTCATGATATTTACATAAAATTTACCCTCCCTCCTATTTCTCAAATGAGCGAAGCATCAAGTACGATATTCTCAAATTCACCATGCCCCTAAGACTTAGGAGCTAAGAAAACATTGTAGATATGCATGGTTGGGTCCAACCCAACAACTGCTCTCAAGGTGTGCAAGGGAATTTCTTGTACAAGTGCGTGGGACCTAAATTAATCAAAGTCATGCAAAGCCCTCAAGGGAGAGGTCTGCTACCCTAAACCAGCACCCGTCTTTAGCCCTTAGTATTGAATTGGATGCCCATGATTGAAACTTCAAATCATTGTTGAACTTGTGCCCTTTCCTTCTAGGGCCTAGCTACCAAAGGCTTGACAAAAGAAAATCAGAGGGAGCCAATTGTTAGTGAGGATGAACTTTATTAGGTAGAGAATTTTAGCTGTGGATTTGTGAATGTAAGACTCCTGAAATATGTGTCAATATCACCCTCTTGATACCTATCTTGACCCCTAACTATATACATATGTTAGACTAGTTAATCAATTTTTGGGGGTGTAGTTAACCTTTTAGGGATAAAGTGCCTCCTGCAAATCCTCCCTATAAGATTTTGTTGATCTTGTTGCACTTATGAGGGGGTTTTTCCGTGCATGTGACAGCAAAAGCCAGACAATGACAAGAGGTTTTTACCATCATATAACAAGTTGCCAATTCGGCTAACTACAATTTGATAGTTTTTTGTCCTAATTCCTCTACCTATGGGCATGTTGCTAGGGTTTTTCAAACCCCTCTTGAGATTTGGAAATAGGGATGAGAAAGAAGAGAGGAAAAAACAATCACACAAAGTACACAAGATTTACGTGGTTCACTTCTCGATGTGAAAAGCTACGTCCACGGCCGTCGCAGGAGAAATTTTACTATTTTCGTCAACTTACAAGTTGCCCTAATAACCCTTTTAATAACATAAGGGTTAATACAAACAAGAATCTCAAACAGTTCAGAAAAACGAGCCCAGACCCAAAACCCGACTCGCGGTCGACAGCACCTGACATTGCGGTCGACCGGACAGAACGACAGAAACTACGTAAATTGATTACAGGGTCCGCGATCGACCGGAGATGTTACCGCGGTCGATCATAAAAAAATACAGAGACCACCCTGTCTTGTGCACGTTCGCGGTCGACCGCATCTTGTCTCGCGGTCGACCGTAAAGCCTCCAAAGTGTTTCCTTCGTCCAAAACCTGTTCTTTTTTAATTTTTCCTTCAATGTTGTTTTTCCTCTTCAATTTCATGTTTCCTCTTCAATTAAGCAAATAGGGCAAGTCGGATAGTTAGGCTCCACATATCCTAACAATCTCCCACTTGGAGACTAACTTTCAATCTTTATCACCTTTTTTTGCAGCGACGACTTCTCATATCATCAAGTAATGAGGCCAACTGAAGTTGAATACAACTTCAGTTTCTCCATAGTGACAGTCTTCGTAAGCATATCAGCCGGGTTCTTGCTTCCTTGAATCTTCACAAGTGCCAACATGTCATCATCCAATGCTGACCTTTTGAAGTGATAACGAATCTATATATGTTTGGTCCTGGCATGAAAATCTGGGTTCTTTACCAAATGGATAGCGCTCTGGCTATCACGGTATAAGACACTCTTCTCACTTTTCTGTCCTAACTCCTCCAGGAAACCTTGCAACCATATCATCTCTTTGCTAGCCTCTGTCACAGTAACATATTCTGCCTCTGTAGTCGACAAAGCAACGGTCTTCTGTAACTGAGAAACCCAACTGATGGCTATAGTACCCAAAGCGAACACATACCAGGTAGTACTCCTCTTCTGATCTATCTCACCAGCATAGTCTGCATCAACAAAACCCTACAGAACCAATTTGCCTCTCTTGAAGCATATGATCTATCTCACCAGCATAGTCTGCATCAACAAAACCCTACAGAACCAATTTGCCTCTCTTGAAGCATAAACAATTTTCTATTGTACCTCGCAGGTACCACAAAACCCTACAGAACCAATTTGCCTCTCTTGAAGCATAAACAATTTTCTATTGTACCTCGCAGGTACCTTAAAATCCACTTTATAGCTTCCCAGTACTGCTCTCCTGGATCTGACATGAATCTGCTCATAGCTCCCATTACATGGGCAATGTCAGGTCTCGTGCACACCATGGCGTACATAACGCTTCCAATGCCTGACGAATATGGAACCTTCATCATGTAGTTTTTCTCCTCATCGGTCACTGGACAATGCTCCTTAGTCAACCTGAAATGACTAGCTAAAGGTGTGCTAATGGCCTTAGCACCACTCATTCCAAACCTCTCAAGCACCCGTTAATGCAATCGGCTTGAGAGAACCGCAATGTGCCCAAAAGCTTGTCTCTGCTAATCTTCATCCCCAATATCTGCTTCGCTACGCCTAAGTCCTTCATATCAAACTCACTCGATAACTACTTCTTCAGCTTCTTGATCTCACCCATGTCTGAACCGGCTACTAGCATGTCGTTGACGTATAGTAGCAAAATAATGCAACTAGTGTCAAACTTTTTAAAGAAACAACAATGATCAGCATTGCACCTGGAGTATCTGTTCCTGTGCATGAATCCATTAAATTTTTTGTACCATTGTCTTGGAGATTGTTTCAGACTATACAAGCTCTTTTCAATCTGCATATCATCTTTTCTTTGCCTTTCTGAGTGAACCCTTCTGACTGCTGCATGTATATTTCTTCCTCTAGGTCACCGTGGAGGAAAGCTGTCTTCATATCTAATTGCTTGATATGTAGATCTTCAGCTGCAACAATACTCAAAACTAATCTAATAGTAGTCAATTTGATTACAGGAGAGAATATTTCTATGTAGTCAACTTCTTCTTTCTGCTAAAATCCTTTGACCACCAATCTTACATTGTATCTCTTGGAACCATCATGTTCCTCCTTGATTATGTACACACATTTGTTACTCAAGGCTTTCTTTCCTACTGGTAACTTTGCAAGTTCCCAAGTCTTGTTAGAGTTTAAGAACTTTATTTCATCTTTCATAGCAAGCTCCCACTTGCTTGCATCATCTACTCAACATGCCTCATCATAGCTTTCTAGCTCTTAAGTAGTTCAAATAAGCTCTGGGATGTAGTGATGGATACTTCAGATTTGGTTTTGGAACTCTTGCTGACCGCCTCAACTCTCTAACGGGTGAATTAGAATCTGCATCTTCATTTGTCCTCTCTGAAGTAATCTCCTCCATCATCTCTTCTTCAGCCTCTTCTGCTACTTCTTCATCAGAACTGGCTTCAGGATTGCTTCCATCTGGAACATCATCTGGCTCGAAGTATGTAGACTCAGGCTGCACCGAATTCATGGACTGAACAGCATCATGATCTTTGTAGAGGACTACTTCATTGAAGACAACATCCCTGCTTCTGATGATTTTCTTATTCTACTCATCCCAGAACTTATAGCCATACTCATCACCATCATAGACAATGAAATAACACTTCAAAGACTTAGAGTCAAGATTGTTTCTAACATGATCACTCAAATGAACATATAAAACACAACCAAAAACTCTTAGGTGAGAAATGTTTATCTTCTTTCCACTCCATACTTCTTTCCACTCCATACTTCTTTAGGTATTTTGTGATCCAAAGGCACTAATGGTCCTTG